GAAGAGTAATCAAAAATCTGTTCTCAAACCAAGAAGCATATATCATAAATTTAGAAGACATCTCAAGTCCCTTTAGATTTAGAGTAGCAATTTTAATTATTGCTTTAGTTATTAGATGTTATAGAAGTAAATGTGCTCTTATTGAGCTTTTGAAGAATTCTTCTCTGTTTATCCTTTCTTATATATGTTTTGATTTGTTTGTTTTTTTCTTTTTGTAGAATATTGTTGTAAAGTCTTCTTCCATTAGAATTGCTAATGATATATTTTCTTAAGAAGGGTTATTCTCTTTATTATTATCTTTAAAAGATGGGCTGTCTAGTGCAAGTTCATCTCTTGTTGTAAGTTCTGCTTCTGAGAAAGTGGTTGCTTGTTTAGCTTCTTTCTGAGAGTCTTCCATTTTGTCATCTATGTTATAAGATATCCTTTATCTCTTGTTTATTTGGTGTTTCTATACTTATTGCTTCTTCTTTCAATTTCTCTTTTTCTTCAGTTTCTGGAAGACTTTCTACTTCTTGAGCTGTTTTGCTAAGATAGTCTCTGTCTTTTGTCTTAAAGATTTCTTTGAACACTTGATAGTGTTGTCTTAATATAACTGACTCTTTGAATTGAAAGCATTCTTTTTTTATATGCTCTTCCTGGTCGCAGAATTCCATTCAGTTGTCTCTAAGATAGGTGAAGTAAGAAATTTACTTTTCCAAATCTCCATCTTCTGTTGTGTCAAAAATAACAATCCATTAATCAGTTAAATATGATGTTCTCTCAATTACTAGTGGTTTGATTGAAGCTATTTTGCCAAAATCTTGAAATGCATTTTTGATTAGAAACGTGCCAAAAATCAGGTGATTTTTTAGGGGAAGGGGGTAAAAAAAGTTAAAATTATATATAAGAACCTGATTTTTTTATATTAAGAGGGGGAGGGAAGTAAGCCTCTAATAAAAAATAATCAGATAATAAATGATACTGCTCTTAGCATTGTTATCTCTTCTTTTCCTTCTAGTAGAACATTCCTGAACTTTACTGAAAGAAAAGACTTGCATGAGTCTGTTGGGATATAACCAAAATATGATTTTTTGAAGATATTAATACCCTTGACTACATGATGGCTAAGGATGTTTTTGTGGTAATGATAATTTTCAAGTATGTGCGGTTGTCTTTTTTGAAGTGTTGCTTTGCTGCTATGACATCTTGTTTTACATTTTCATAAAGTGAGATCATTATTTCATTAAAGGAGCTTTGAATATCTTGTATTTCAATAATTAATGTGTTTTCATTCTTAGTTCTTATTTGTTCTCTAGGAGAGAAGGCTGCATAAGTTAATTAGCCTTTTTTTAGTTTTGCAAATAGACTTGACCACTTTTTATTAGTTGTATCCCTTGGTTGACTAGTATCTGTTTTAGTTTTTTCTTTTGAAATTAAGCTTCCAATATATGGGTTATTTTCTAAGAATTTAGTAGTCTCTGGTGTGTTTTGTTCTATTGGTTGTTTTTGATCTACAGTCATATGATCTTGTACATGTTCTGTAACATGACATGTTTTGTTATTTTGTTGTTGTTCTTCATTATATATTAGTAGAGGTTAAGCTTTGGCTCTCTTCTTCTAGAAATACTAGTTCCTCCTAGCTAATATTTTTTGTCTACTTGTATTAAAGTGGCTGCATTTGCAGTAGTTTTGTCTCTTTGTTGTTTTGATATGCTGTTTATTTCTTTTTGTTCATCCAAGTGAAAGGTTTGTATTTTTAATTTTTTGTTGCAGTTTTCTTGTATTCCAAGAGAAATATGTCTTCTTTTCTTTGGTACAAGAACTAGTGCCCTTGTTGGGCCTTGTTTTAGATTATTTTTTTATTATTATTTTTTTTTTTAAAACGCAAAT